TCTATACCATCTCTACTTTCTACCTTAAATAGTCTCTGAACAGTATGAATCATTTAGTATCAGTGGTGGGATTTTGGCTTTTAATCCCGTATTTATTCTCTTGAGTTAACATTTTTCTCTCGGTAAACTCCCACCACCAGCACAGATAAGTCTTCCAGGCTGGCTACGTGACTTTGTACGGATTGAAGTGTGAATGTGCGATGCTTTATCCATGGCCTACTATCGCGAAACGGGAGAGGGTAGAACTTTTATGATGAGTATGAATTTTTCTCTCAACTCATCCCCTCCACGAGATTAACTGAACTAATATCCGGGCTATGTTGCTCTCAGACAGTCCTGGATATCCAAGAAAACAGCTACATTGGCTCTTTAAGTACAGTAACAGCACTTGATACCCACAGGAGAAGGAAAGGGGTTTTAAATGTCTATATTATTATTATTTAATGAATTATTAGACAGGGCAAATTACCCCTCCCGACTACCTCCTCCTGATAAAGAATTAGGGCTGTACCGAATAGTGATTTTCACTATTCGGTCGAATACGAATAGTGGGACCAACTATTCGGCCGAATACGAATACGAATAGTGGATCATCATCATCAGGTGCCTTGCCGACTGGAGTGGGCGATTATGCCCCGACACAATCTGCGATCTCCTGCAGCATATATTAGATCACGTGCTGACACACCTCCATGACATGCAACAAGACTGTCAAGAATCTTCTCTCGTTGTCTTTCTCCTTCCACAGATCTTTCCAGTGGTCACACACATGTTCCATTTTCCCTTTTCTCATAACATGGCCGAAAAATTACGACTGTCTCCTCCTGATGTCTGTGATTAGTTTTCTTCGGACTCCCGCCTCTTTTCAAAACGTTCGATCGGCCGTTTGTTCCATGTAATTTAAATGCAAGTTTATATTCTCGTTAGCAATATCTTCAAATTTGATTTGTGCGAAGACACCATGAAAGAAAGAAATATGCATGACCTCTCTCTCTCTTCCCCCTCCCTCTCTCTCTCTCTCTCTCTCTCTCTCTCTCTCTCTCTCTCTCTCTCTCTCTCTCTCTCTCTCTATCTCTCTCTCTCACAGACACACACACAAGCAACAACAACAACAACAACAAATAACGCATTACCTTTAAATATAACTGCTTACTTGACGAGGCTAAGAGTTACTATTGTACAGACCACATTTTCCATTTTAAAATTTCAGCCAAAAATGTAAATTACAATTTATAGCAGACTTTTCTTGATTTTCGCCGCTGCACCCCTATCATACGCACTCAGTTTGAAAACCTCTGCTGTAATGACTCGGTCGAGTCAGCAGGCAAAGACCTTGCCAGCTGCTGTACCACGCAATCGGGTTGCAGCTCCCCCCCCCCCCCCCCCCATCAAGACAGATTTAGGCAACAGCAGCTATTATGTTAATGAAAGTTATTTCAGTCCATCGCAGTGTATGCAGAAATGGGTGTAAGGTAGCCAATATTCGTATTCGGCCCGACCGCAACTATTCGGCCGAATACCGAATAGTTATTAGGTCCACTATTCGGCCCCGAAGCGAATACGAAGCGTATATTCGGTACAGCCCTATAAAGTATTATTATTATTATTGAGCCTCCACCAAATGATATTCTATCTTAACAGTTTAATTAAACATGTAAGAAAGCGCCTGTGCTCCGTAGTCTGAATCCTGCCTACTTGTGTCTCACACTGACGTCTAACATATCCTGCCTTCCCTCTCATGTTCTGTCATGATAGTTGACTTTGTAAGTCTGTTGTCCGTCATCACTCAGACTTCCAACTGACTGACATTGTTTTGACATTAACATGTGGCGCAGGTTATGTGCTGAACACGCAAAACATTTTATACATGCACGCTGTCCTGAATATTATCTTTCCAGTGACTGAACTCTTTACACTCATGATTCTTCCCCTGTGGTTATCAATCCCCTGTTAAGGTGAACACTTTAGTGAGCACATGGTGGGCACACACAAAACGTAACCACATGGCTGCACATGTGGGCACAATTTCCCCACAGTCCAGGCTCATGTACTGGTTGATGACTGAAACATTATAATTTCATCACATTTCAGTATACAAGTCTTATTTTATAAACATGAAAACATACACTGAAAAACATTTGATACAAACATACAAGAAATAAGAATGGTTTAGCAGTTCCCTAACTGAGATAACTGAATATTCACAAAGAACTTTTTCAAGCAGAATGTGTAACAAAATTAGGAAAAAGTAGAATAGACTAAGCTAACTCCCCAACCTTTGAATAAAAGATTGAAAATAATTATACAGGTATACCTAGGAACATTCCAGCAATTGCCAAACAGGAATCAAACAGCTAGAATTACTTTCTACTGTTGATCTCAGTTTGTGGCATGCTGGCAGCAATATGAAGTAAAGTCAAGATGCTAGTATTATAAATACTTATCTATCTCTCTGCAAAGTTAAACTCCTCCCCTTCTCTAGTTTCTAACCTACCCTACAGGAGATGATCTAAGCTACTCCCCTGAGGTACTTTGCAGATCAAATTAGCTATTAATGTGCCTTTCAGTCACTTTGGACGGCCCCTACTAAAATCACACATTCTTAATTGAGCAAATCTAGTTTACAGCCAATCTCACTGACAGGTGTGAAATGCCGGTCCAGGAAACGCCATCATGTCTGCAGTTGTCTACTAGACCACGTTAATTCCCCTAATCTGGTTTGTTCAAAGGGCCCCTACTCAGTCTGGTTATGTAACTGAAACAGGCGCTGGACGACTGTTATATAAATTGAAATAGGCTTATTTAATCGAGCTAAAAAAACTGGCCAACTTGGGGGTCAGGAAGCGATAAAACAGACGGGAGTGACCAGTTGGCCCTCTTAAGCCTCTGGTTTTCGGACGAGAAACATGTAGTTCTGATTTGTCCGTTGCGTTCAATGGTTTTACGCAACGTGGGTTGAGATGTGTAGGCAAAGAGAGGTTCCATCTGTTGTAGGGTATTTTATAACACGTTGTGAATTTTAATGCATTATTATTTGTGAAGACCTTAGATGATGTTCAGTGAAATAAATAGACGTGAATGTGATAAATATAGTTCCAGTTGCTTTGCTTCAGATTAGGGCTTGTGGTTAGTGTGTGTAGTTTATTTATTTGTTGCCTGGCTTATTAGACTTTACACAGAAGATCTCGTGTCTGGACTAGAATATTCCTGTTTCTAGTCCCCACCTAACGAACTATTTTCCTTTATTTTTATCTTAGTACTTAGGGATTTTCGGTCCTAGTACATGAAATTTATGACACTCTTGTCTGGCTGGTAGAACGACCAGCCATATAAGGTAATAAGTAATGTTAGGTAATCTCTAACCAAGCTTGGTTGCTTAGTCTGGCTAGAGACTGGAAAAAGTTTTAACACTTTTAAATCCTATGTGAGTTTTTACATAAGAAATTATTAAACAGAATATAACTTCTGAGGCCAATGGTGTCATTTCGTCACACCTACTTTATTACAATAAAATTACAGAGGGCCTTGGTTTATTGCAGTTCATTGTCCACTACGTCGGCATGGCCTGGAGAAAAGATCTAAAGTATGCTCACTACCCGTGACCTTCCCAGTGAATCTTGCCACTCTGATCAAAGCATCCCTTCTTCACCTTTCTCAGCATGCCTTCAGAGTAAAATAATTTTTCAATAATCTACTAACTGTCCATGTTTCACTTCCGTATATCAAGATATGATTTATATAGCTTTCAAGAATTATCTTTCTCTCCTCAGTTGACAAAGAAAAATTGCATAAAATATTCTTTATTTTGTAAAATGCTGCCTTCGCTTGAGTTATTCTACATTCAACTTCTTTAATAAATCTTCCATCTGATGTTATCAGGGTACCCAAGTAATTAAAAATATCTACTTGCTATGCAAATGGTAATGATAAAAAAAAAAAAATGATGTGATACCACCCCCACCCTTTTTTTAAAAAGCTGGTAGTTTTAAAACTATCAACAGTTTTAGTATAGCCTTTTGAAAATACTAAGGTGTTTCAGAAGTTTAACAAATGATTCATGACAACCCCCCCCCCCCCCCCCCCAAGTGATGTGATTGTATATACAGATGGCCCTGTGGCGAGGGACAGACTAAGCGATAGGGGTTCATAGCGAAGGCGAATGGACGTCGCTTGGCGCAACAAAGCCTGGCATATGATATCACAACGTCTAGTTTGAGAATGGAGGTGGAGGCAGTCACTGTTGCCTTCCGTTGGCTTGAGAATCAGCTGTACGCATATGTCGTCATTGTCTTGACTCACAGAGCATGCTGAGAGAGGTGGAGACAGGCATGCTCCGTGCAGAGTGGCAAGCATCACTTCAGAGGTCCCAGGCAGTTAGCATCCTTTGGATATTGTCTCCGGGTCACGCCGGTGTGTTAAGAAATGAGCAGGCGGATAGACTGGTGGGTTCTGCGCTATTTGGTGGTGAACTGATTTATGACAGGCTGGATGTTGTGAGGGCCCTTCGGGAGTGAGTGAACGGTGCGAGAAACAGATAGATCATTGCGGTCTGAGGAGAATGGCGCTGCGAGGAGTTACAAGGGGATCTGGCCGACGCTCGACACTCGGGGAGAGGCGAGACGGATATACAATCAGACTGTTACTGGTATCATCAGAATTTTAACTCTTCGCTTGCTGCTGAAGATGGGGACGGAGCGCTGATGGGAGTGTCCCGAGCGCTGTGATGTCGATTTTTAATTCAACATTCAGCATGGTGACTTACAGTTATTGCAAATAATATTGTGGAGCAATAACTTTGATATCATCAACGCATTTATTGTTAAAGTCTTCAAAGAAGAGTGATTAAAAAAAAATCTTTATATCGGAAGTAAGCTCTTTCTGCTGCTGATGATGAATAAGGTTTATTTTTAGTACAGTTCCCAAACACTTTTAAAAAGTTGAAAGACAATACCGAAATTTAGAATATTTATGTAAAATTCAAAAGCGTAAACAACAAGAGAATGAACAATAATGCACCTCTGGCTATTCATATCAACAAACTGAAAAACTGCAGAGTTTTCTGTGGTCCAGTACCAGGTTCAGTATTTATTAGGGAGTGCACAAATTGTACTTTTGTATTGGCTTGTCAACAACTTCGAATTCATTCAACTGTTAACACTCACTTTTATATACATGTGACCAGTAAAGCAATTGTGGAGGACAGTTATAATGTTAAGTTTGCACCATACAACTGGAAATATGATGGTCTTGAAGAGCATTATGCTTTAACAGGTCTTAACAGACACAGAAATAACTGGGATAAAGTTGATGATTTTAACTGGCTTGCTGCAGATGCACATTCACCAAACTGGTCCATACTTGAGGATTCTGAGCAAATTTCTTCCTGGGATGTTTAATATAAACTTTCTTATTTGTTAGGCTTGTTTACACATCGTAATAATAATCAGCATGCGGTGTAACTTGATATCTAACACCAAAACATGTGTATGCAGCTTATTCAGTTGTAACATGACTTGTGAAACAACATTATTTTTTTTTTTAGCTTACAGTTGGCTGTATCAGGGTTTTACCCTAATCTTATTTAAATTAAAATAAGTTATAAAAAATATATGGAAAGGACATTTGTCAAATAATTACAATGGCTTATGCTTTGATTTCAACTTTCCTTGAAAAGATTCACTGAATCTGGACAGCACTAAGCAGACAAGCAGCCCAGTTAGTTTATCTATGCAATAACCATAACATAACCATTCCCAACAAAATGTAATTTATTCTGCTTTCATTTATGTTTTATGAGCGTTAATAATCTTCAGGACGTAGCTTCTTCATCTGCATATTATAAATTGATGAAAATAATTGATTTATTCAAGACTCTTATATGTGTTTACAAATTGATGGGTATATTTTTCATCACAAAATGGGCCTTAGCAAATGGCATTTACATTCATGAGTCTAAAAAAAAAAAAAAATCTCTGTCCATGATGTTCCATATGAGTTTTTTTGACGGCATTCTCCATACCACCTTTCTAGATTATCTACTATCGTTTATCTTGTTCTTCCTCTTATACAGCTAATCTTTTCATTTATCGCAAGGTTTTCTATAGTTTCTCTTCTCATCACATGATCATTTGCATGTTGTTCTGCTTTCATTGTTACTTCTACTGGCCTAAGAGAGTCACCGCGGTGGAGCGGCTAGACATGAGCCACGGATCGGAAGGTCGTGGGTTTGATCCCTGGCGGAGCCGGACTTTTTTCAAAAATGACCTCAGCTCTCTTGAGTTAGGTCATTCACATTCTATGATGTATTGCCACATAGAAGAACAGGCTCAACAGCACGTTTCAGAACTCTCTTTTTAACATTCATAGACTCATTACATAATATATTTTTCATCTTCAGAAATGTAGCTTTTGCTTTTAAGTGGCTTTTGCTTTTACTGTGTGCTCTGAAGGTCATTGGTTTATTTCACTGCCTGTGTCTTTCATATTATAGGTGCTATTTTTAATGGAGATCCATGGGGATTGTTACTGGAGCTATGGTGTTTGTGAATTGTGCAACACTCAGCAAGCCACTAACCGTTCTTTGGAGAGAGACAGCCATTTGGGATTAAACCTGATGCAGTGAAGTTGATCTTCCTGCCTCTAACCTTTATTTGTAAAATCTGTCACATATTTTCTATCTCTTGTCAGGACTTTTCCCAGATATTGGCAGTTGTGCATTTGTTCGTACAAATATGTTTAAAATATTTTGAAATCAGCTGCACATAAGATAGTTTTGGTTACTTATATCTTGTTGTAACAAGCAGAATGTTTCATTAACTAGCGTCTTAAAATACTTGAATATTAGTCCTTGGCATACATTTGATTCTTTGCCTTTTTTGAAGAAAAAAACTCCTTTGTGACCTCCATTTGATTTCTGCTCATTTTATTCTGTTTTCACAATTTACAGACATTTATGAACAGAATTTATCCTAAAACTAGTTTTCTTGGACAGGGATAAGTTGAACATAATGTTGTTCTGGGAAGCCTTTGCTGAGATTATTTTGTATACCTCATTTTGTTTTCTCCATCTGTTCTTGCCAGATAATTTGTTGGTTATCCCTTTTGCTGTTACCGTACTCTATAGTTTTGCATTTGTTTAATTGTAGTCCTGTGATTTCAGTTTCTTTGGTTGCAGCATCAGTGAATTTTTGCATTTCATTTTCATCTTTAGTTTTAAGCACTCTTACATTAACATAACACAAATTATATATATTTAGTTCCTCAACTAACCTAAAGGTTAGGCATAAATATGTATGTAACACACAAAATAATCCTAAACCAACAAATGATAAAAATTGCTTCAGTATAAAAGAATCATAATTCTTTTTCAAATATATTTTCTAGCATTCTTCATCTTCTAATACTACTGATGTCTAAGTTGAAAAAAAAAAAAAAAAAAATATATATATATATATATATATATATATATATATATATATATATATATATATATAAATATATATATATATATATATATATATATATATATATATATATATATATATATATACATACATACCATATTATATATATTTTTTTTTTAATATATATATAATTTTCCTTGTACTCTTCATTTTTAATCATGATATTAAAAACTACTGTTAGTTCTTCATAAAAATTGTGCAGTTTGGACATGTTGAATTTCAAAGATATTTCAGCTGTGTTGTTTCGGTGTAGATTTTGTGAAACTTGGACTTTATATAGATGTCATGCAAAGAAGCTAAACCACTTCCACACAGTCTGTCTGAGAAAGAAACTGAACATCAAGTGGCAAAACAAGGTTCCATGTATTGTCATAATGGAAAGAGCTAGCATTACTAGCATCGATACAATCCTGATGCAGTCACAGATTCATTGGCGGGTCACCTTGTCTGCATGCCATTTTTTTTTACAATTCATGTATGGCTTCATTGTAATAATGGTAATCAAATGTTTTTGTTGGCGATGTGTGTGGATTTCCCCAAAATAATCTTTTATGATGAGTTAGAAAAAGGAAGAAGCTATCATTGTGGCCAGAAAAAATGCATCAAGGACACACACGAATGACATTACTCAGAGCCTTCAATATAAGCCCTGACACCTGTGAGGCTGTAGTACAAGACCAGACTACATGGCAAATGTCTATTGGAAGATGCTCAGCCACTTGACAGGCATCTAGAAAAAGGACAGCTGAAGAGGGAAGATGGGCTGTAACGATTTATATCAGGCCCTTTATCTGCAATCACTGTTCCGTGCCCTTATTGTCCTAGATCTTTCCAGGCCTGTACTGGGCTTATAAGTCACCTTCGGACTCACCGTCAACCATAGTTTCATGATAGATAAAAGAAAGCGAGTTCCTCATCATTTGTGATGGGCGAATGACAACTAGATTTCAGTGTATTTGTCACAATAATGATTTGGACGATATGTGAATAAAAAATATAATTACTATTTGGTAAAGACTGTAGCCTTTATTTACCCATATCAGACCTTTTGATGCCTCAAATAAGTAAAAACTTAGCTCAAATGAAATTAACCAATTAGGGTAAACTGCCTATCTTTCCTTGAGATTTTTTTCTGGTAAATTAATTAAGTGAAATCAACTATTAGAAATGTTTCTGTATTCTGTCGAAAATGTAAAATATTTCACTAGCTTTTCCAGAAAGTTATTTTAAAATAAAATCAATATTATTTAAATAACACTGTACTACAGGGTCTCCATCAAAGTGGTCAAACCATTCTAACGGTCCTGAGTTCGTTTCATGGCGGCGCTGTTCAATTCACAGGTGTAATTTTCACAGAGATCCCTGATGATCGTCGCCGGAGCAACGGAGGTCGTGCTCTGTGTGACACTCTCAGTAGCCAGCTAGCTGTTCTGCGAGGGAGACTGCGCCATATGGGATAAAGCCCGGTGCAATGAAGACAATCCTTTCACCATTTACCTTTACCAGTTCTTTTGCATTGAAAAAGTTGTAGACATATACCAAAAACAGTTGAATTGCTATACACATGCTTGTGTATTTCTGCTTCAGATATATGTGGCCATGAAACATAAAAATACAATCGTTTTTAATGCAGAAATAAACAGTATTATTTAAACTATAACTTTAGAGTTTGTTTCTTCTCAGGTAGCTTTATGAATATACTGTTAAAAAAAAAAAAACGCATAGTTACTGAAAGGAACAAACATACTCACAATTTTGACATTCTGCATCTTTGTAATGCAGTAAGTGAAATTACTCAAATTTCATACAAAATACCTTAAGTTCCACCAGTCAATTGGCACCTTTTTTTCGCATCTGGGTCAGGATAGTTTTTAAGTGTAGGCCTTTCCCGTTGGTATGGTGTGTGGCCTCATCTTGCATGGATCAGTGACTGGCATCTCATGGGCATGGGTGCCTGTGAGATGGCTGCCCACTCTTCCTAGAGTGCCTGGAACAGATCACGACCATTGGCTGGAGCAATGTTTTGACAACAAAAACATCTTTGCAGCTCATCCCACAGGTGCTCAATTGGACATGTCTGCAGACAGGAATGGCCAGGGAAGGGTTTGAATGTTATTGGCAGCCAGGAACTGCGTGGTCAGCTGTTCAGAATGGGGTCTGGCATAACCCTGTTGAAAAAGATATCTGTTGGTATCCCAAAATAAAGGGACAAGTGGTCGAAGAATTTCATGGATGTATCGTTGCGCATTCAAGCTTCCTTCGGTGTGTACCAATTGACTCCTTCCATTGTAACTAATCATTCCCCACACCATTACACCTCCACCACCATGCAGCAGAGCTTCATCAACACAATTTTGGGCTAAACCTTCATTTCATCTACGGTAGACCCTACCCCGTCTATCATGACGCTGCAACAAAAAGACAGATTAGTAACTGAACCTGACACGTCTCCACTAATTGTCACTTGCCCATGGACGATGTTGGTTAGCCCAAAGAAGTCGATTTTGGTGGTGTTGACACGTAAGGACAGGTCCTCGGTGTGGTCGTCGAGCCCAAAGTCAAACATCATGCAGACTGTTCCGAACAGTTTGATCAGACACATGATGTCCTGGAGGCAATGCTTATGCAAGTGAGAAGGTTGTTGTAAACCTGTCTCTGAGGTAACGAAGCCGAATAAAGCAATTCTCCACTGCTGTTGTCACTCTGGGTCGTCCACTGCGATGTCGGTCTTCAACTAAACCAGTGGTTTGGAACCGGTGCCATAGTCGACTGATGATACTCTGAAACTCGTTTAGATGCCTGGCAACCTGACTTTGACTTTCTCCTGCCTGAAATTGGCCAACAGCAATATTTCTTAAATTTATCGATAGAGGTGACATTCATGACTGCTTGAAAATGAACTGATCGTTTTGGTGTAGCGTTATCCTTTTATA